AGACAACACATTTAAAATGTTAAATTTTTAGAAGTAGGTGATTGCCAACTAGTTTAAGAAGTTTAACTTTAATTCTCCGAATTAAGAACTATAATGCTATGACATTTTTTATTAAACATAAAATGACAAGACTGAAGTAATATTATTTCATTTTTAAACTTTGTCAAAGGCTAACTAAATATAAAAATTTATGACAGAATCATTTTTTAGTTTGTCCCGTATTGATTGTCTTCTAAAACATTATTCCAAATGTACATGCAATACTTATTTTACTTTCTTCTAAAAATGACATTTAAAAATATGACTTCCTGTATTCCTGACCAGATGTTTTGTTTAATATAAGCCTTTGATATCTGTAATCATTAACTAGTTCAAAGCAAATCAATAAAAATCCTTCATTATATAAAACATAATACTTTATTTTGTTGTTAGTTAACAGAAATGAATTAAAATTCAAGTAATTATATTTTTTCTTAAATGGCAAAATAATTTAAATATTTAATACTTCATTTCTTATGATACTAGATGGAACAAAATTTAAAGAATAGAATACTTTTGTCTACATATATAATCTTACTAGATTCTTGGAAGTTTTTACACTAGTTAGTTCTTTTCTTCTTCTTTTTTAAACCAGGATTATCTTGCTTATCTGCTTGAATTCATTGCTTGGGTGCTGTGTGTGAGCATTTTTTCTCAAGGCTAGTACTCTACCACTTCAACCACACTGCTCTACTTTACTTCTTTTTTTTGTGTGTGGCATTTAATTGGAGATAATAGTCTCATAGCTTTCCTGCCTGGGCTGGCTGTGAACTACAATCCTCAGATTGCAGCCTTCTTAATAGCTAGGATTATAGGTGTGAACCAGTGGTGCCTAGCCACTATGTATTTCTTATTTCTTGACCGGAGTTTAGAGAATTTCTGCAAGATGTAACCTTATGGTTTTATGGTTTAGAAGCTGAACGTCAATACTAAAATACATTTATTAATTTTTCTCTATAACAAAATGTATATTCCTGTTATAGAAGGGATATTTATAATGAAAAGGAGCTTTAACATGTGTTTTTGAAAGTTCAAGGTCCAAAATCTGGTAGGTCCTGGTTTAGACTCTTCAGAGGATGATGGATGGCTACACAAAATCGCAACTGGACTTGGAGGGAGGAGTAGTTATATCAAGATACACAAAGAGAGATCATGATGCCACAGTCCCTTTTGAGATCACACCCTCATTAACCTAAGGTCTTCCTGTTAGGACCTACCTCTGAAAGGTTTCATACCTCATAACACTGCTACACTGGGGAGAGTAATCTATGATTGTGTGTGATTGGACTCAAAGCCTTATGCTTGGATAGCAGTCTCTACCATTTAAGCCTCTCCCCCAGTTTCTATCTTCTTACATTTTGAGTCAATTTCTTTACCATTTATTTTATTCCATTTACCTATCTGTAGACATTTGTTATAAGTGTATGTCTGCATCATTATCCAGATTCTAATTTAATGTCTAAGGAACTAATTTCCTACTCAATGCAGGGTACATTGAAAAATGATATTGTAAATTTATTTCCCATCAGTATTTAAGTAATAGCACATAGTATGTAATCACATGACATCTTTTTTTCCCCTCAAGTTATTGATACATTTTCTGCCACATGTATGACATTAGAAAGTTGGCAAGTTTGAAGAGCTCCGATGAGCCTGTAGGGAAGTATTTCTATTCATGTGTTGTGTTGGGCAAGTAAGAGCTAATCTTTTGGTTTATGCCATGGTTCCTAATAAGTGAATGCAGAGTTTGTTTTGACTGCAATGGGAGAAGAGCTCTAGGAGGAAAAGAAGAGTCTATACTTAAATCTGATAGCACATGCATGCTGAATGTAACAGGGTAGACAAGGATTCCTTGTAGTTCCTTAATGTGTAGGAAGTAGAACTTTTAGAAGTTAGATGAGTGAGAGAAAACACAATTATTCTCTTCTCCCAGCTTGACCGTTGTAGTATGAAAACGAGTTTTTCAGTGACTTTTCTTTGAATTTTTGGAAAGGGATGAAATCTTTAGCATGCGTTACCTCTGAGTTTCCTTAAAGATCTTAAGGATGCACGTATGGATGAAGGTTTAAAAATATAACTGTGGTTTTTCCAGTTATAGAAATCTTCCGATCCACGAGGTGCTTTTCCCATTCTAAAAAAAAAAAAATTAGGGCTATAGACTCAGAGCCATAAAACACCAAAGCAAAATACATAGTATTAGTACTAAAAAAAAAAACAACCCTGACTAGCTTTTTTTTTTTTTTTTTTTTTTTAGCATGACAGCCCTGTGATCACACAGAGTGACTTGCAGAAAAATCTAGATGCCAAGTTTCTAGGCCACTTTCTAGCTACCAAGCTCTGTAATTAAATATTTCTCTTTTGGTAAAATTATAGCAGAGATGCTCTTTGGTAAAGAGATTTAAATGCTCTATTTTAGTACCTGTAGTTCATCTAGGAAAGTAATTGTCATTTGTTTTTCTTTTTCTTATACTTCTCATTTGTCTATTTGTATACGTGTCTCAAGAGATGTGTGTACTTACCAGTGGCTTAACTCTCCACTCCTACCCCAGTATAGACAGTCCTGATCTCCAGGAATCCACATCAAGGAAGACTTGGTGTTTTCTGGTTTATGTGCACATACATATGAACAGTTTAGAATTTCTGAAGCCTGATTGGAAAGTCCATCACTAATTGAAGATTGTTTTCGAAAACAGTTCTGTCTCCACACATCTAATGTAGTGTGCAAACATGAATTTGTTCAACCTACTGACATGAGACTTAAAAACATTTTAAGATCACGATGGTGAATATAACTACATAGTGGAATTTGTTACCAATGCCTGAAGTAATGCAGTGATGTATCAGATATCATTTACAGAGATAATTATATTTTTATGAACTGGAGAATGGTAAAATAACTGCCATGTTACCCTGGTAAAGTCAAAGTCTTATGCCATGTCATGGTGGTTCACTTCTGTAGTACTAGTTAGTCAGGAGGCTGAAATCTGAGGATTGTACCTTGAAATCAGGCCAGGCAGGAAAATCTATGAAACTCTTATCTCCAATTCACCAGTGAAAGCTGAAGGTAGAGCTGTGGCTCAAGTGGTATTATGTTCATGTTGTGCAAAAAAAGCTGTAGGATAGTGCGTAGGCCCTGAGTTCAAGCCCCAAGATGGGCACCGCGAGTTTGAGCGAGTGAGCGAGTGAGCAAGAGAGCAAGAGAGCAAGAGAAAGAGAGAGAGTTCAAAACTAGATGCATTTCTTATTCATCTTTATGTTTCCAGACAAGTGCCTGACACTTCATTGCTTACTGAGCAAACAAATAAGTGAATGAAAGTCATTCATTAGAAAGCTTGTTTGAAATAATGTGGTTAATTTTTCCTGGAAATGCATGATGTACTTGCATGTGTCTACATGCTTCTCAACTTTGGTTGAGAAGCACACCTGAACATCTCTCCCCCTTCAGTAATCCTACCATCAGCTTGCAAGCCATGATTAAAATCTTTCTGAATGGTCTCATATGGCTCTAGAGCAGTAGCCTACAAAGTCTCCCCCCAATGATTAATTCCTATGTGGAAGTAGGGATACATGGTTGGATAGAGCACTTCATATTTCAGAGCATTGTGACTCACTTAGCAATCATGAGAAGAACTCAAAAGTAAATCTCAGAAACAAATTGAAGAATTCTACCCGACGGATACTGCATTTGAGATGTTTCTTTAAAACTGAAGGTGCTTTTTATGAAATTTTGTTTTTACGCTATAAATTTTTTTAAAAACCCAGTATATACTCCTACTATTAGATTACAGATGCTATGCCTCCATCAGAAAGAATGACATTTCCCCATTTGTTAGGAAATGGAAAGGCTTGGAAAAAATTATATTAAGTGAAGTAAGCCAGGCCCAAAGAAACATAGGTCCCATGGTTTCCCTTATTTGCAATATCTAGTATAGGTATGAGCCAAGGTTTCTGATTATTTCTAAGCAAAGGTCATAGCTTAGTGTTAAGGTTTTTCTCAGGTGTAGCAGGTATGAATTTTAGAGCAAGGAATATTTTGAGCAGCAAGAACAGAATAACTCCTGGAATTTTGTGCAAGAGAAAGGATTAAAGATTTGATTTTTTGATTCTTCAAACAGTGCTCTTGCTACTGTGTTCCAGAAAGACATTTGGGATGTGCCCAAATGAGGTCTGGATCCCAGGGCACTTTAGTATATGAAACCATGTTCTAATGGCTAGGTACTTGGGAGGCTGAGATCTGGAGAATAGTAGGTCAAAGTTACCCAAGAAGAAAAATATCTGAGAGTAGGTCTCCAAAATAACCGGCAAAAAGCCAAGCCAGAGACATAGCTCAAGTGGTAGAACACCAGCCAAGCAAGCGAATTGAGCAAGTATGAGGCCCTGAGTTCAAACCTCAGTTCTGGAAAAGAAAATCGATATGTAACCCCCAAACATTAAATTCATGATTCATAGTGGAATCAGAGGCATTTAGTATTATTAATATTAAAATTGCTTTGTATATAAAAGTTTTACTGTAAAGTTTTACTTTACAGTCAGATGGATTCATTTGAGTAGAGTCTATGGTAATATAGTCTCAGAGGGACTAGGGGCACCAAAGACCCTGTAGTCTACAAAGCCTGAAATATTTATTATTTGAACCTGCATAGGAAAACAATGCCAATTCTTCACACTGCCACTTTGTAATACACTGTGATATATGTTCTTTCTGGAGGGGATTAAAAGAAAAACCCAGCCTGTTACTGAATGATAAGTGATATGTCTTGTGGGGGAAAGGAAGAACTGCATTTCCAGGGAATCCCTGAGCACCTTCACTTAAAAGATGTCAGTTGCCATAGTGAAGCCTGTGTCCTTAATCAGATCGAATGGAGATGCGTTAGCTCGATTGCCATTTCAGTGTGTTAGATGTTGCTCTGGTGTGTTGTGATAGAACTTGAACGCCCACCCCGCTTCCTTCTTCTTGGCAGGTGGAATGGATCCAACAGCAGGTGGTCAAAAAACGGACCAAGAGGGATTATGACCTCAGTCGCGCCCAATCTACCTACTTCAATGACCCCAAGTGGCCAAGCATGTGGTATATGGTAAGTGGCTGGTTTGGGGGTTGGATAGGGAAAGTTTGGTGGTGCTGGGCCTTTTCTTGTTTCAAGAAACCATACTTTCCACCCCCTGAGTTGGATTGGTGGGTCGTGATGTTTTCTTAGCTATGTTTTGAACTTAATTCCTTGACCCCAGGAGGAAAGGAGGCATGATTGACAGAAATTATATTTAAGAATATACTTCATCCAGTACTTTCTAAGTTTGGGATGGAAAAACATCCTAAGGTGTAGACCCGTGAAGGCCTATGAACAATTGTGTTCACCGTTGAAGCCACTCTGATTAATGGGCACTGCTCCTTGGAAATCACTGTAATGTCTCCTGACTTTTGTCATCTCATGTGTGCCCTGGAACTCTAAGTAGTAGTTTTTAAAAGTAGAATGGAGGTGGGGTAGAGAGTTGGGGGAAGCGTTGGACTTGTAACTGGTTTAGTGACTTGAGCAAAAGATATTTTAGTGAGAGGTTCTTGAATAACATGTAGGAAGTGATCCATCCTCCAGTTCACGTGACATTGCTGCCCGTGAAAATATGCTTTTCTAGTCTGAGGATTCATAGCTTCATACCTACTGAGAAATGGGTTAGGATATATAACTCCTTAATCATAATTTTCCTTTGTTGAGAAGTTCCTGTGTCAAACCTCTGTACAAATACCTTTTCACTGGCAAATGCTCTGCCTTTGTATTTACTATACTACTTTATTTTGTGTCAGTCCCTGTTTCTGATTTTCTACGCAGTGGTGCCAAACTCTTGCAAGGACATACACTCATAGCAGGTCCCCATTCTGTTCCATGTTTTCTGGCTACTCTTCCTCATACTCCTGATGCCCAGAGTCTCCCTCACCTCCATGAGGTGCTCCTGCCCTGAAGAGTTGACACCTGAAGCCTGATTCTCCAAAAGGTCTCCCTGTGTCATTCCTCACCCATCCTAGGCTCCATCCATCCCTCATCCTCTGTCCTTTCTGCAAAAGGCATCCATCTCTGGGCACTTTTCTGGTTGTATTCTGCTTGTGAATACTGCTTTAAAACCTCTGTACTAGATTGGTGGGCTCAGTTGAAAAAGATCTACCTTTTGATTGTTCTTTACAACCCTTTAAGTATCTAACCCAGCCTCTTGCAATGCCAGGAGTTAGGATATCTTTGGAAGTGGGGTGAAATAACTGGTATTTCTTCTTACTTTCTTTTTTTTCTTGGTCTTACCTAGAAGTAAAAAGTTGTAGAAAATGTTTAGGCTGTGCTGAATTTTACACAGAAATCTTTCTTATCTTGAAGGGGGGAAAGAATGCAGTCCTCCAGCTAAATTAAAGGAGAGATGGGAAGGGAGACATCATTTTAGTAGGAATTGCCAGGGAGGACAGAGCCACCAGGCAGCCTATTAGCTCTAAGACCGAGAAGAAGGGGACCACAAGCACAGGCATTCAAGTAAGCGCTGTCAGGAGTTACACTGCTTCGTGTGCGCTTAGAAAACGATAAGACTGTATTCAGATGCAGAAGTAGATGGAAGCAGAAGTGTCTCTCCAAGATTGTTTCCAACAGGATCATCTCCCTTGCTTTCCTTCCATTGCTTCCCACCGCAAAAACCCAAGTTGCTATCTGCACGTATCTTCCCTGATGAGGGAAGACACTGCAGGCCTTCCCTGAACCTTTCACACGCTACTTGGCTCGGGTGGTTTCTAGAAAGAAACATGGTCACAGCAAAGTGTCAGTTCCTGACTCCTCAAGAACCACTGGAATTTCTCTTCCTGACGGCCAAGAAAAGAGGTCTGGTTGGGTTATTTAAACTGATGGATATTTCCCAACAGAGTCATGTAGGACACATGGGGCTGCAGGTTAAGTGCCAAGCATTAAGTGAGTGTTCTTCTGATGCAGTGCCAGTCATTAATGCATGTTAATACTGCTGCTGTTGTAAGAATGAGGAATCTCAGCCTTGTGAAGTTTTATTTTAGTGGCGTGCCTAAAGTCACCTGGCCATGTTGCGTTAAAGCCAACATGGCAGAGCAGACAGGCTAGTCTCCAGGTCCACAAAGGCTGAGTGCCAACATTCAGTTCCCACCTATCTACTTGTAACAAGTGCTGTCAATGAGTGATTCCTGGGCCTTGAACTCAGGGCCTGGGCACTGGCCCTGAGCTTCTTTTGCTCAAGGCTAGCCCTCTACCACTTGAGCCACAGCACCACTTCCAGCTCTTTCTATTCATGTGGTACTGAGGAATAGAACTCAGGACTTCAGGCATGCTAGGCAAGCACTCTACCACTAAGCCATTTTCCCAGCCCTCCCATCGGAAACTCTTAACCGTAGAGAAACGACTACAACACCATGTGTCTAGCAGGTGCTATATGGGATGAACATCTTATCTTGAGATGACCCAAAACTTTGGGAAGATTTCTGTTTATTGGTAATTTTTCCTTAACAAAAATGGGGCAGAAAACAAGTTCCATTTGTCCAGTGTATTCTGTTAGAATGAGAGCTCAAACTCTGTAAACACACATTCAAATCCCCATTGCTTTTCTTCGTATGTCCATATTTAAATTGGGCACATTGAAAGTAACTGGCTTTTATGTGTGAGTGCTAGCTAGCCGAAACATACCAGGTTTGTTTTCGAAGTTTAGCTCATGCTTTCTGTGCAATAGAAATTTAAAGAGAGCTCAGCCCCGATGGCTAGTCTCAGTTCTGTGATTTAGCAGGGGCGAAATCTCAAAGGCTTCGTGACACAGCTGGCAAACGGACTCCGGTCCATATGGGCCCAGCCACAGGGCAGCCTGGGTTTCCACTGGATACCACATTCGTTTCTCCCCCAGGTAGGTGTTCCAAGAGGACGTATTGGGAGTGGCGCTGTTATGATTTAACCTCAGGAGTCACAGGGGGTTACGTCTGTCCTTTTCTATTGGTCTTAAGTCAGCTCTGATTTTATGTCAACAGTGTATTGCATGCTAGAAAGGGAGAGTCACAGAAGTTGTAAGATGAAATGTTGCAAGGGACCCGTTAGTGCAGAAAAGGACGCTCAAAGGCGGTCAATAAATCTTGGTGGTGGTGGTGGTTGTTCTTCTTCTGCTATGCCTTCCTAATTGCCGTCCAGGCGGTTATCTGTTTCACTGTTAATTACTGCTAGTTAAGAGTAAAATTCCCAAGTGCCGTAGACATTCTTTGGAGCACTCTTTGGTGCTGTCCACGGCCCAGTCAAACATGTTCCTTCCTTCCTTTCTTTTACCAAGCGGGAGCCCTGATGTACAGTTTGAGCACTGACTGGCAAGCCTCCACGGGGTCCTGCCTCCAGCTCGTTAGCCTGGGCCTGTTCCTGTCATTTTATATTTATCACAGGAGAACGGAGATTAAAGAATGGCATGGAGTGTTCCTGAGCGTCTCTTTCAATTAATTTAAAAGCTTTGCCCAACTCGCTCCTCCCCTTGGATGCTAATGCGCAAAGCTATTTTGTGTCCCTTTCAGGCTTGCGCAATATACACAGGGAAACATGCATTTAGGGAGTTCAATGCCTGTGTGATTCTTCCTCTACCCTGATGTAGTATTCTCAGATTATCACCAGGAATTGCAAAGCCCAGTCCCAGTCGTACAACTCATTTCTTGTTAATAACCCCAATTTCCCTTGCATTTATTCCGTCTCAGGCAGGGGGTTAAACAATGGGGGTTTGAACAGACACAATGCTTGCTTCCAAGATGAGTAAAGCAATCCCTAATAGGTAAGGGCCAAGAAAGCTCACTCAGCGGCGCTTCCGTAGCCTGCCTGGGATCTTCTGTGTCGATTGTAGTTGTGGTTTGCAGATTTGATTCTTCCTTTAGAAGCTTGGCCTTCCCAGCAGGGATTCTTTATGGTTTTGTATGGAATGTAGCTCAGGCAGTAGGATTTCATTAGAACTCCCTGGATAGTTCTAAATGTTGAATAAACGATAGGCGTGGAAATGGATGAGCAAACCCCTGATCACTCGATAGCACAGTAAATAATCACCCACCATTAGGAGTACTCAGTATAGCGCAAGCCTTGTGTTTTGTGTGGTAAGTTATTACCAGTGTTCCAGTGAATGAGGAACCATTATCATTGTCAGTTTATGGATGAGAAAATTAAAGCATGAAAAGTTAACTGGCTCAAGGTTACCTCATTCACCAGGGACAGTCCTTGATGCGAAACCCCGCCAGTCAGCCAGCCACCCTGGCATCTAGACTTCCAACTCTCTTCACCTAAAACAACAATAATAATAATTCTTCTCCTCCTCTTCCTCCCTGCCCCCCCCTCCGCTTCCTCCTCTTCCTCTTCCTCCTCCTCTTCTTCTCTTTCTTCCTCCTGCTTCTCCTCTTCTTCCTTCATCATCATCTTCTTTTGGGGAGGGAGGAAGGCATTGTGCCTTTTATTGGTGGTATCTCAATTCTGCGCTGAAGAAACATAGAAAAGAGACAGTTATATTTGAATCCCAAAGCCAGTCTGTTCAATCCCATCTTTCCCCTTGTATTTAATGAAAGGAGGCCAGAGAGGACAACTAGAAGTACCAAAAAGGAAGAGACATCTCAAATGACATGTTCTACTGAAGATGGAATACTTTTCCTTAAAAGTTGAATAACTAGGAGCATTTTCCTATGGGGGCAAAATTTAAGTACTACATCATGCAATCATCAACTGAATAAATGCTCTGGATTTCAAAGAAACTAAAAATTACAAGACATAGTACTCTTCCTTCAATGACTGACACAGAAGGGAAAAAAGAAAACACTAGAGATGCAAAGCAAATTAATAATTGAACTAAAAAAACAATAACTATTTCTAATTCTATGTATGACAGAAAGCAGGACTTCTATGCAGTTACTATGGTCTCACTGTTTTGTCACATGATCCATAGTTTCTAAAAATTATGGGTCGTTTTAAGTGGGGGCAAATGGTCAAATCTAGCACCTTTTAATGACTATTTAAGAGGAAAAGTTTAAAACAAGCTTTTATAGTCAAGTCAATTTAACACTATATAAGCTTCAGTGTTGTAAGAGAATCCA